ATGTTCTTCATCTGCTCCATCACCACAATCATATATTCCATTACACACATACATATACGGTACACAATAACTGTTTGGACATTTGAAATAATATCTCGGGCAGGTGAAGTTGTCTGAAAATCATACACAGATTCGTAACCCGGTATTAGATTTAAGGAATGCTGGGTAGCATTGTAATAAATGTTTGTATATAACGCTAACCAAACTTTTTATATAAAAGATGCACATTCTTAAATATTTTTAATTGAATCGAACAGAAAATTAAATGAATAACCATGTGTGTGACAATTTCTGTACTTGAAAAATAAAAAATTAACATATTATTTTTCGAAATTAGATTTTAAAAAACGATATACCATTAAAAGTAACAGGTTCCATATGAATTGTTCAATATTTGTCGATATAGACGTTTTCATGAATTTATCCTGATTGGTTATATTTTGAAAATCAGTCTTAAAAGCTGCAATTAAAGCTTAAAACTTGATCTGATTTATTAAATAATTATTGATATATTTTTTTATCAACTCACATACCACAATTTAGAAGATGGCTGAATGATCGACAACCGGTTATTATCCCTTTATTGTCTCTACTGTAAAGGCATTTTATTGATACATCAACTGCATCAACATGACTCTGACAGAAAATCCTTGCGGTGGGATAGATACCCGCTAAAATGATGCCAGATATACAGTAATATATCCATTCAGTTAATCGTTAAGACGAATGAACAGTTATTAAATTGCTTTGGTTAGTTTCTCCAATTTCTAGAATAATGGTTTAGTTTTTTTTATAGTTTCAATTAACTTTTTGTGTAAGATTACAATAATTTCCAAAAAAGTTTAAACAATACAATATCTTTGCTCAGTTATTATTAAATATTGTTACCTTTCTTACACACAGCTTGACCAATTTGAAACCTGTTGGGTTTATCTTTCACACTATCCGTCGTTTGTATGATAAACGACCCATCATTGAACATCTGCATCATGACGAAGGATCCGTTGACAGGTCTGAATCATAATTTACGAATGGTCATAAAATGCGTTCAGAATATAGAATTATGATTTGTGTCGTTATTCTTAATGGGTGCTAACGTGTGTCAAATTATAAATTAAAATTCTAATAATAAACGTTTTGAGTTTCTTTCTTTATTCATTACCTACATCTTCTACACTACTTACATGATAAAGGATTTAAGAAACTAAAAATCCAATAATTTGACATTGAGAGGCAGAGACGGTCCATGACACCCCACATTTCATTTAGGTTGCAATCAAACATTTTATACAAATGTATTTACAAAATTCATGTGAGCAGCTTATTGATATAATCATATGTGTGTGTTTAAAGAGACACTTTATCACAATTAATGCTCACTGTCCATTACAATTTGTTATTTTAGCACATTTGGTCTATTCAAAAAGTACTCATTTTCAAATTTATTTCTCAGATAATATTGCACAGGCTAGGACATTTAAGTAATGCACGGAGTTCATCTTCCAACTAACTTTGGGCAAATATTACAGTGTCTATTCTTTCAAGGGATTGCTTTAAGTTTATGTTAAGAGCATCCTGCCAGTTTCTACAGATAATTGTTGTGAAGACAACGTGATAAACAATTCATTGTTTGTACTACATAACTTTGTGCTCTATTTGAGTATTTAATATCAGCATGTTGGAACAAAAATTTGCAATGTGTGATTGATTTGAATTATTCTATTCTTGTCAACATTTTAATTAGATTTATAAAGATCTTGTTTTATAAAGAAATCTTGAAAAAAAATACATACACTTTTCCTTCAACGTTAGAAGTGCTATCTCGTGAGGGAAGCTCATATTCAAACACGTTTATATGGTATGTCAAATTTTCAAGCTCGGCTACTCTGATATCTTCGCGTTGTGGGAGCTCCGTTATCTTAATGATTTACAAAAAATAAGTACTCAAAATATATATTAAATTATCACTTTATATATTAATATTTTGAACAGTTAAAGTCAAGAAGATTAAAATGACTAAAAATAAAAGCAGAAACATAAAAACATATAGGAGGAATGATCCAGACATACCCGGAATTAAGGCATTAATTTAATAATATAAATAAAATGTTCATATAACAAACACTATATATCCTTATTTCAAGGACTCGAGAATTAACAATTAAACAAATTATGGCCACCACATGAATATGTTAGCAAGAATAGTAATTCACATACGGCGCAGTTTAAACCTTGTCACAACTCCATAAGCGTTAACGTAAAAAAACATACTAAAATATTTTCAAAGTATTTGCCGATGTACGCAGTATAGGTCGATGCTTTATTACCCATTTGGTTATTAATTATGTTCAAATACCATAAGGTGTCCTTTGTTCGGAAAATCCCGGATGTAATCCACCGAAAGTGTGCTAGCAACTTAAACCTATGACTATTTAACTGTCGTTTGAATTTATTGTGTGTGTGTGTGTGTGTGTGTGTGTGCGTGCGTGCGTGTGTGTGTGTGTGTGTGTGTGTGTGTGTGTGTGTGTGTGTGTGTGAGGGGGGGGGGGGTGCGGGGGTAAAATCATACGCATCTTGAAGTGTGCTACATTTCCTTATATTATTTAATTTCATAAAAATGTGCATGATAAAATCAAATAAAAAAAATAAGATGTAAGAAAAAATATATATTTTTTGGTTTCGTTTTCCGACGCTTATAATTCCTGTATTAGAAAAGCAAATGAATCCATCGGCTTTGATTGACTTTATTTCAATAAGAATAAGTTTTGGATAAATTTAATAAATACTTTAAACTAATCTTAGATACATCCAAATCATCAATTAGATTTTATTTTAAAAATCACATCAAAATTTTTGCAAGGCTGCACACGACAGCAAATTTCTTTTATCTTTCAAAGCCACGGCGACGGAGAACGTTAACGTCATGCGCATTTTGTTATCCCGCCAACGATATGTATTGGTATTATCTCAACAGCTATATTTCCATCTATTAGGCTTTTGTTTGACTAACAAAATGCTTGTGTTCGTTTTTCTTTTGTCATTTTAGTTGTTTCTGAAGGATACTATTCGGACTGTCGACAAATGTTTATTCAAGTGTCGCTTTCCTGATGCGTTAATGGCGACGATTTTGAATAAATAAACGTATTCACCAAAAACCTGCAAATATGATTGCATAATAATCCAATGTTCAAATGATGTTAAATTTTACCATGATTTTCACGGTTTTACACAAGCCTGCGGCAAGCGTTGGTCAAGATCAATTTTTGCATCCAGCACTTTTAAATGTCATCGAATGTCGCGCCGCTATAACGTTTCCATGGTTATATAAGGCGATCTAAGACGGTACTGGATGACATTAAATCAATGATATTTTTCAATTAAAAAGATGAATCATCAAACTCTGACTAGGTATATATTAAATGAAGAAAACATGACATTTGTCAGAATTATAAACTAATACCGTGTAATTCTGCATCTTTCCTCGTATAATCATATCTAATATAATATACATGTATTATACTACAATATATATAACTTTCATAATAAATATACAGACTCAGATTTAAACACGCTGATGATTACTTATATTGATAAGACTTTTTAACAAAACTTCAAATTCCACTTAAGGTGAAGAATTCTTCTGCGATTAATAACATATGCATAGATAGATAAACAAACATTAATGAGCCGCGCCATGACAAAACCAACATAATGGGTTTGCGACCAGCATGAATCCTGATCAGCCTGCGCGTTCGCGCAGTCTGATCAGGATCCATGCTGTTCGCTATCAGTTTCTCTACTTGTAATCGGGTTTGTAAGCGAACAGTATGGATCCTGATCAGACCGCGCGGATGCGCAGGCTGGTCTGGATCCATGCTGGTCGCAATCTCATTACGTTGGATTTGTCGTGACGCGGCTCATTTGTAGAAGCATCTTATCCGAAACCCTTTTAGTCCAGTCATTCTAGCTCAAAATAGAGCCAAACCTCAAACAAATTGCAACAGAAAATATTTTGAGTGTTTTGAAATCCCAGACCTATATTGTATAACATATCAAAAGTCTAGAAAAATCTAAATTGGAGAATGTTTTCAAAAATTGAGATCAAATATATGGGTATCATTGTATTTATTTTTTTAATTTGAACTCAATGTAATACACACATACAATTTTCCAATCAGTTTTATATATAATATGCATAAAAATATAGCTTAATCTATCCCTATAGTAACATAAAGTAATCAAAAAGTTGTTTTTGTTTAAAGAAACTACTTTTACCTTTCTAAAATTTATTAATTAACTTAAGTGGGTGGGGTAATATTATATTTTTACATTGCTGTAGATCAACAATTTATTGAAAGCTCTATGTTATATGATATTAAACAGAAAATACATAATGGTTTACGTACATGTGAAAACTGTCAAGTTTCAACGTTTTATGAATTTAATTTACATTCCATCAATATTTAATGCATATATTGAAATATTTATATTAACATTGTACAGCTAGTGGGTGGGGTAATTTTATACAAAATAAAGAAACATTAAGGAAATCTATATTATCTATGATAATAATATTGAGTTTTATATTAACTTGAATACTTTCAAGCACATCTGTTGTATTTTTTTCTGAGTCATTATATAACATCATGACATTGGGTCAAAAGAGGTGACATTGACCTTTTGGAAGGTCAATTTCAAATATTTGATACATTTGAGCATAAAATGTAAAAAAAAATATTTGCAAATTTTAATTTGTAAAATATCTTCGCTAAGCATAAGCACAAGAATGTCATGACTTTTACAAAGCGTCACTCGCTTCTGTAATTTCTGGTCGACCAATCTTTCACTTTTTATCACTAGATGGTAGCACCTGAAATTCTTCTGATATATCTTTTCCAGTTCTGAAATTAGAGGAGCATTAACATGTTTGATGGTAAAGAGCATCGGCTACAAGCAAGTCATGAACCTGTTCTATCCTTACTCTCACTGTATCAGATAAACAGTCATTCCTCTGCATACATGTATAATAATATTCAAAATAGTAGGTTCTAGTGTCCTTACTGGCTAAAAACATCACACTTCCTTGTTTTACCCTTACTTATTAAAGATTGACCACAATATAAACAATCTGTTTTGTATGAAAACTTATCAGTCATTGATCACAATGGTGGTATCAGTGTTCTATTTTTCTGTCTTAGTGTCTCTTTTAGTGTAATGTGGGTTACAGTACATCTTTCTACACTCAATGTGAATATATTATTCTGATTCAACTTTTAAACTGTCATTTTATTTCTCACTGGCAGCATTTATTCCCTTGCATTCTTTTTCGTTGCCTTTAACTGTCTTTGTATGATCATCAAACAGCCGTTAACAAATCCGACAGGAGTTCATCTTGAAAAAAAAACACAACAATAACTGATATTGTAAGATTTATAAAATCTGTTTTTTACATTATAATGGAGTTTGATCCAGAATTACCCAAAATTTGTTTATAATTCTGATAACTTTTTATGTTTTCTTCATTAGATTTATAAATGCGCAAAGATCGATTTTTCTTCTATTTAATTGCCAAATATAATTGATTATAAACATCCAGTACCGTCTCAGGCCGCCTTAAATAACCCTGGATACGCCACAGCAGCGCAACTCAAAGAACACGACGTTCGTTGAAATTTATAATACACCAAAGTGCCCGACACAAAAAGGGATCATGTCCAATATTTGCCGAAGGTTAATGTAAAGCCTGCTAAAATTTCACGTCGTTTGAACATTGTATTATTGTGTAATCATTTGTAATTGCAACGTTTATTTATGCAAAAACGTCTTCATTAAGGCGTCGGAAAACGGCACTTTCATAAACATTTGTCAACTGTTTAGACAGCCTACCATAGAAACATCTAATATGATAAAAGAAATTCGACACAAGTATTTTGTTAGTCATGCATACAAAACTTTTTGAGGGGTAAAGAAGTTTTTTTACCAGACTGTTGGAGTAATTTTAAAGATAAATACACATCTTTTGCGGCATAGAAGAATACGCGTGAAGTTAACGCTCTCTGTCGCTGTGGCGATTGAAAAATAAAAATATGCTGTCATATGCGGCCTTGCACAATTTCAATGCAATTTAAAAAAATGAATTCTAATTGACGCTTATATGCTGTTTTTCATACTTTATTTGTTTTATTTTACATGCACGTTTTATCTAATTAAATTAAATGAATCATATATTTAATGCCTTCAACTTTAAGATGATCATGTGTATGAATCACAGCAATCAAAGCAATTAGCAGTTGAATAGTCATAGGTTTAGGTTGTTAGTACACTTACAGTGAATGGCATCGGGAGGATTCCCTATGTATAAGAACAATAGAACATCAACCTTTTTTGCATAATAAGACAAATCCTATGTTTGCTAGTCGTAAGTAATCCCACACCATCGTACGTTTGCTTATGACCTGTCGTGCGATTGTCAATGATGACTGGTCTTACGATAATCGCAGAAGTAAATTTATACGTGCAAAATGGTTTTGGTCGCAGACAATCGCTGATGATCGTCAGTTTTACAAGTCGCCGGTGGTCGCAAGTAATCTTAAGCTCTAGTGTGACTGGGGTTTTAGGATGACGTAATTTTACAGTTATGAATGAAGTTGTAATTTCATACGCTGTTGTTCGAAAATAGTTTCGGTTGTAATGGCATAAATTCCCATTTAAAATTAAGATAAAGAATTCAAAATATAATGTTATATCGTAAAATATGCAAGAAAAATATGTGACATATGTTTGCGGTTCGGATCGGAATATCCGTCCCTCGGTAACCCGCCCATGTGCGGTAACTCGGCAAGCCTCGTTACCGCCCAAGTTATTATTTTTATTTTCTAAGGTTTTTATCTAAAATTATAAATATAAAATACCTGCTGGTTAAAGTCTTTGGAAGTAATGTAAAGATAAAGTCACATATTGAGTTAAAAAATGTCACCTTTAGATTTTAAGCATTTGTAATGCCCATCCGTGCATGCATTCAAAAATATTTGTACTGATATGTTACTATATGGAACTTATGACACACTTTAAAAGTTTGCTTATATGAAAAATATCATTAAAGTGATTTTGTGTGTCTCAACTATGCATCTTTACCTTTAACTCGTATACATCACAGTGTCCTCAGAACACATGATCGGGCATACCCATTGGCTCTGGTGTGTTGATGAAATCTGTAACATAGAAATTACTTCAAGTTTGAAAGGATTAGAATCTTATTTTCATATTTACGTGAAATAAGGTTCTATAGAATTCACAGATGTTTTTATTGTTACATGTATTTGCTTAAATTTTGATTTTCAAAAGTGATAAAATTATACTATAGTCAACTTAGGTGTGCATTCCGAAAGAAATACTAATATATCGCTGTGAATTAATCTTATACAAGTAATGCACTTTTTCAAATTCGCGCAGGTGCTATTGTATGCATAAAAGATTTTCTTTTAAATTATGGATCAACTGTGCATGTTTACCTTGAACTCATACACATCGCCAATCATGAACCATAACTAGAAATCACGTTTGTTTATTGATAAATTTTTCATGTCACCTTTTCATGTATAAATTTCTTCTATGTCTATTAAAAACTGAAAATAATTTCAGATATATTGAATTATGCATACGACGCTCTATTTCCTCCATGTTTAATATTCACTTAAACTAGTAAAAGATAATGTTTGATATTTGTGTTATATATGTAAAAATATTACAAATGTAAGCACAGGAAAGCAAACTTACTCATTTAGTGTACATATAGTTTACTGGATTTTTTTTATTTTCAAAATCAAGCATACATCAAAGAAGACTTCCTCAAAGCGGTACCCCTGAAATAATAATAACATTACATACATTATATATGTAAAACAATTTAAAAAAAAAACTATTAAAAAATACAAAAAAACACCTTGAATACACATTTAACAATAAAACATGATTAAAGTATTCAAAACTTATTTAACGTAATTCGTCATAAATAAAGTGACGTTGGCGTTCCATAGTTTAAAAATACTGTCGAAATTAACTTGTTATAAATACACATTTTAGGGCGTTTTTGAATGTTTACTAAGACAGGAGTTGATCAGAGTTGTGATTTATATAAATTAAACTGTTTTCCATGAAAAGTATAATACAGATCGCTTGAAACACCTGTTGACCTTCAATGGATAAAGAACTGGTAAAACAAGTAATAATTTTCAACAAATACTCATAATAAACCTACGACCCCACATTAATAATTCCTATTATGATCTGTAATCTTTTAAGGAAAATATACTAACCCACTTTACAGTGTACTTTACTGACATTTATTTTGTTTACACTTATTTTGTTGTTGTTGTCGCCATTATGCAGTCGCTATTCTGAGTATCGGAGACGCTTTGTTCGCCTATGGAAGACCGTTATCGTCAGAAAAAAATCACAAAAAATAACGCGATAAAAACCCGTTTTTTTCTATGTTGCGCAACTTAGATTTTGCTAGACTTTTGATATGATTCATGTTATTCCATATACTTTCTATACCAGGTAAAATATTTTCTGTTGCAATTTGTTTGAGGTCGATTTACAGACTGACTAGACTATTTGTCACTTAAATATCATAAAAACAAGTATTATTTTAATTTGTTATTCGTTCGGTTATGTTATACAAAAAGTAACTGGTTATAATTTAGTAATAGAAACCGATATACAAAAAATATGTTAAAAATAAAGAATAAAGATATTATGAGAAACCCTTTGTTAATAATACTTTTCGTTGCTCACTCTATCACCGTTAATGACACCAATGGAAATGATGAAACTTTATGTAAAAAGAAAACAGTTGCGTTACTTAAAGGACATAAAAAATATATTGAACTCATAGATACATATGTCATGTATTATCAATCTATTAAAATGAATAAGGTGTTTTGTACTGAACCTGTTTTTCTATTGCTACATTATCAAGTAAATCTTCATGTAATCATATATCAGCTACATATTCCTAACATATGAGCTGCGTCACGACAAAACCAACATAATGGGTTTGCGACCAGCATGGATCCAGACCAGCTTGCGCATCCGCGCAGTCTGATCAGGATCCATGCTGTTTGCTATCAGTTTCTCTACTTGTTATAGGGTTTGTAAGCGAACAGCATGGATTCTGATCAGACTTCGCGGAAGCGCAGGCTGGTCTGGATCCATGCTTGTCGCAAACGCACTATGTTTGCTTTGTCGTGACGCGGCTCATATTATGTACCTTCTGCATGCACTTATAACCAGCAGACAGCGCCTCGTCTACTCCAGGGTTAGTTATTTCATATTCAGTATCTGATATTTGCTTCCAGTCCGTGTTTGAGTACGTCGTTATAATTGTATTGTTTTCATGAACGTAATCAAAGTCACAGTATACGGACACTTTATGCTCTGAAGAAAGATAACATGTTTAGATAGAATTGTACGATGTATAAAAATATATAACGAGATAAATTTGACATATATTATATAGAGGATATTTGTTTAGTTCAGTGTAAGATCGGAATAAATTTCACCGAGTGAGCACCAAAAGGTATATTTCACGAGTGGCGCAGCCACGAGTGAAATATGAAATTTTGGTGTTCACAAGGTGAAATATTATAAGAATCTTACACCGGCTACCGGTACAGACCGGAATATCTAGCTCTAGGGTAACTTTTAACAGCGGTAACGAGGCTCTGCCGAGTTTCCGCTAAACAGTTTCCCGAGATCTAGATATTCCCGTCTGTACCAATAGCCGGTGTTTGATTCTTTTTCTTACATATTACATGTCAATTTCTTTCGGAACAGAAATAATGAAAACTGATATTCTCATTACGCCCTTTTTTCTATTAGTAGCGTATGAACATACAACTTCATTCATAACAGAAAAATGACGTTATCCTAAGAACGCGATTCATTCATAAAAGTCGCGCGTCAATGACGTCATTTAAAGCACGCGACTTGTCTTACATGGGGGGTGTAAGACAGAGTTTTCTAGCACCGGTGTAAACGGTAGATATTCCTGTCTGAGATGCAAAAAATTATGATCTTACACTAAACTAAACAAATGTTCTTTTTATTACATGCAAATAAACGTTTTAAAAAGACATAATACTGAATGAAAATCGCGCCAAATAATAATACAACGTGACGTCATTTACGACGTCACGTCATTAAGTTGGTACCCCGTACTGTGTACGCTAGTATTTCACTGAAACAACGTTAGGGGCTTAAATTCAAAACAGTGAAATTATCAAAGTGGTAATTTCACTGTTTCAAAGAGTGAAATTACCAGTTTTATATCACTGATATATTTGTATAAACCACCGAAAAGCATGTAATAAATATATCTAAGTATCTTATTATTAAAACATGTCAATTATAATCTGAATTTATTAACCTGTCAATTATGAAAATATTATAGCTAGAGGCTCGCATAATACTTATTTTATTCAACTCGTTCAATAAATTCAGTATTAAACTTACACTCATTCAATATCCTCTATATTTCAATTACTATAGTATTCGATTCCACTTCGGTCTGTATAATTTACGATAATTAATATGGAGCATATGGCTAATGATTTGAAAAGTCACACTATTTTAAAGTTTATGTTCTCTTCATTTCCGCAATAGCACAGTCGGTTGAGTGATTACCTAATAATATATGAGAGGTATGTGGTTCGATCCCTACTTCTGCCATTGTTTAATTACCTATTCTTTCTTTTTTTAAAGAATGTTTAAATGAATAGGGCTTGCAAAATTGTCTACACTGTTATGGAATAACTAAGAAACACACATTTGTCTGTTTTCTGCTGAATTTTACGCATTTAAATTACATGTATTGATTTCAATATTAATTCTTAAACCATGAAATTAAAAAAAAATGAGTATAGTCTTTTCCAAAATAAGTGCAAACATATTTAAAACAAAAATAAAGAACAACTAAAATACCCAAATCATATCTTCAATAATGTTGAAAACATAAATAAGAAAAAAAAAACATACGTGGTCTCGATCTGTGAGCACTTGCATTTGACATTTAGAAGTTATAAACCGGTAGTTTACCCTATTGCACTATAAAGGTCAATATAACTATTTCATAGAAAGAAATTAAATGTAATCATATCATAACGGAGATTACCGGACATTTATCGAAGATTGATGTATTATGTGCATTGACCGCATAATCAGTATGTAATTGACAGGTTAATAAAATCAAACAATACAAGTATGAAAATGGAAAGTCACGTTATTGTGCTTTTTGTGAATACTAATTTAACCCTGAAATATGAAAAATGGGTTTTTCGTCCAATATTTCATTTATTTTTAAAAAACATTTTTCACTTCGAATATAAATCTATATAATAGAAAATAAGAATGTATTAACAGTCTCAGAATGATTGGCCTTTTTATCAGATTTTGTGATCTATTATTCGTTTTTTTCAATCAGCAAATTAATAGTGATAGCTATTCGCCGATGATATGGCAATTATTGGCCATTCTGTTGAAGATTTGCAGGCCAGTTTAGACAAATTATACGAGTACTGCCAGTACTGGGGCCTACAAGTCAACACATCTAAGACCAAGATAGTGGTGTTTCGTCGTAGGGGTGGGCTAAAATGTAATGAGCGCTGGCATTTCAATAATGTGCCTCTAGAAATAGTTAATGACTTCAACTACCTAGGGGTGGTGATTAATTATACCGGCTCATTCGTATTAAATAACCAGTACATAGTCGGAAAGGCCTTAAAAGCCTCAAATATACTGCTAAATAATATAAAACAATATGAACTCAGCCCTTCGATATCGCTTCAATTGTTTGATGCTTTTGTGGGATCTATCTTAAACTATGCCTGCCCGGTTTGGGGCTTCACTAAGTCCAAAGAGTTAGAACGTGTACATCTCAAATACTGTAAAACGATTTTGGGCGTTAAATTAAGTACAAGTAACGTATCGGTCTACGGGGAATTAGGGAGGTATCCGTTATTTATCATTAGGTACACACATATAATAAAGTATTGGTTTAAATTACTGAATACGGATAACATTATATTAACACCGTGACAAATGTGAAAATGGCACAAATAACTGGCCATGTAAAATTAAAAAACTGCTTGCGGTACTTGGTTTTGCCGAAATATGGAATTTTCCCGATAGTGTATTGTTAAAACAGTTCTTACCTGTTTTTAAACAAAGACTTATCGATTGTTATTTACAAGAATGGCGTGCAGATGTATCTAGTAATGGTGTGCTCAGTCATCTATATTCATATGTAAAAGATCAGTTCTGTTATGAATTATATTTAGATAAGATTAATTGTAAATCTTTTAGAAGCGCTCTTACACGCCTTCGAGTGTCCTCCCACAGACTTAGAATTGAGTCCGGAAGGTATGGTCGAGGCCGTGTGGAACGCCACGAAAGAACTTGTCAATTCTGTGATACTAACGAACTCGAAGACGAATATCATTTTGTTTTAAAATGCAGTGCTTATGAAAATCTACGTAGTCAATATATTAAGCGATATTTTTACATTAGGCCTAGTATGGCCAAATTTATAGAACTACTACAATCTAAAAGTCATAAAGTACTTACAAACTTATGTTATTATTTAAAAAAGGCAAACATCAAACGAAATGATTACTTCAGAAATCTTCAATAGTATTATGATGCAGTTTTGATTATATATACCTTGATGTTTTTTTCAGTATATTATTATATAAATAATTTATCAAACAAATTCGATTAAAAGTGAAGTTATAGTTTGTTCTCCGCTTGAATTTAGTATTCTTCATTATTCATTTACAGAAGTAATTTAAAGAAATGGATATATAATTGATTAATGGAGTTTTGTCAGTGTAATGTATCACATTGTATGTATTAAATATCCCATTGCTCAGTATTGTATTGATTTGTTTTTTCTTTATGTGTAATTGTAAAATATGTGACCTATAATTATATTTAAAAATGCTTGTTATAACGATGTACCTATGTGTGTACAAGTTATGAAATAAACTCTGTTCTGTTCTGTTCTGATAATAGAAATAAGCCGCGTAACGACAAAACCAACATACTGGGTTTACGACCAGCATGGATCCAGACCAGCCTGCGCATCCGCGCAGTCTGATCAGGATCCATGCTGTTCGCTTACCAACCCTTTAACAAGTAGAGAAACTGATAGCGAGCAGCATGGATCCTGATCAGACTGCGCGGATGCGCAGGCTTGTCTGGATTCATGCTGGTCGCAAACCCATTATGTTGGTTTTGTCGTGACGCGGCTCAAATATTTACCTCCTACAATATAATAATTACTCTTGGTAAAACCATCATTCCATAACTGGTCGCAAGTAGTATACGTCATATCACAAAATTGTTCATCTTCTCCATTGATGCAGTCTGCATGCATGTCACATACCAAACGATTAGAGATACAAGTGTCGTCTGCACAACTGAATGCGTCTTTGTTACAGCCATTATATTTTTCAATCCAATCTTTTTTCAACAGATAAATAATAAAATAAGCTCGAACAGTTTCTTAAAATTAATTCCATACTTGACAAAATATGCCATTAA